AAAATATTAATATAAATACTTGGTAAAAACAAAAATAAAACTTCAGAGGTGTCAAGGGACACCCGGATGGAACGAAGTTCCTTTCGATTAATTAGTGAAGGAATTGTAATTTTTTTTTAAGTTATAATAATAAATTACGGCATTATGGAGAAAAAAAAAACAATACTATCAACTAAATTACTATTGTTGAAACGCTATCTCGAGAAACTGTACTCATTACGCGGACCAATCGGATACGAGCAATGTCACGCGATAAGCGCCTACACGTTGATTGGTCAGAATGACGGATCTAAAAAGTGTCGTGACAACTTTTCGTAAGAATTTTTTCCGTCTAGCCCCCTTTCACAACGCGCGATAAGGAACTTCGTTACTAAAAAAACTTCAGAGGTGTCAAGGGACACCCGGATGGAACGAAGTTCCTTTCGATTAATTAGTGAAGGAATTGTAAATTTTTTTTTAAGTTATAATAATAAATTACGGCATTATGAAGAAGAAAAAAACAATACTATGAACTAAATTACTATTGTTGAAACGCTATCTCGAGAAACTGTACTCATTACGCGGACCAATCGGATACGAGCAATGTCACGCGATAAGCGCCTACACGTTGATTGGTCAGAATGACGGATCTAAAAAGTGTCGTGACAACTTTTCGTAAGAATTTTTTCCGTCTAGCCCCCTTTCACAACGCGCGATAAGGAACTTCGTTCCAATTATTATCAGTAAATGACACGTTGGAAATGATCACGTATGACAACGTATTAACAAAGTATGTACTTACATTCTTAATGATATACGGTATTGGTTGTTTGTATTTCCACTACACCAAACGGCTCTGTATTTTATCTTTGCGTAGCTTCAATAACTTATTTTTATTTATTTATATAAATCGAATATTGTTATTAGATTACGTTTGGCATGGATAAAGTAAATCGACATAGCCGCTATATATGAAGAGTCATCAGGAAAATACTAGCAATACGCTATCGACGTGGAATCTTCGAGATCAAATATTGAAAGATTCAGTAGTATACAAAAAATAATACGAAACATATGTTGCTATGATTTATTAAAAAACTGAGAACTTCTTTATATTATTATACAATATTTTATTAAGCTATTTTTCTTTCTTCAGTTTGTTTTGTAACAAAGATACTGAGAAATGAATGTAACGAAAAAGTTCAATAGATTTTGTTCTTTTTTGACATGTTTTTATTAGTTTCTTGTGTAAATACGTTTATTTGTAATATAACGAATTTTTTGAATATCATTTTCACCGACTTCAAAATATCCGATTAACATGAAAATTTGCAAACGTATCAATATTTACACGAAGAAGTGGTGCTAGTTGTGGTGTTAGCCAAGAAGTAGGGCAAGTGGTGGTGTTAGCCAAGAAGTGGTGCAAGTGGTGGTGTTAAGGCGAAAACGGACAGCTAGCTGAAATTTTTCTTTGTTGTTTTAGAGCAGATTGAATCTAACTTATGAGCACTATATGGTCATTGACCAATTTAAAAATCTAAAATCTTTTTTGGATTGGACATCGCCATGGCCCATGGACTTCAGCAATGACATCGCCATCGCCCATGGACGTCAGCAACGCCAGGGGCAGAGCCAAGCCGCTGCCTACCACTTAATACTCTCCACAAGCCTCGTTTGAAGAAGGACATGTCATGACAAGATAAGATTTAAATTGGTCACATACTGAAATGAATCAAAAAAAATACTGTACCGTAATTATTTGGTGCTCAGGCAAGTTGTGTCGAATAAAGTAAATATGCGCTAATGGAATAGTCGCCTTATGATTATGTCCCTTCGTTACAAACGTCTAAGTTTCAGTCCAAAAGACTTAAGTCGTCTTCAACCTAATGTAGTTTTATTTTTGCGACTAATTGGATAACTTTATTATTATTATTATTATCTATATATATATTTTATTGCCCTTGTAGTTAGTTGAGCATACAGTACCACCTGATGGTGAATGGTTACCGTCGCCCATGGACGACAGCAACGCCAGGAGCCAACCCGCTGCCTACCGCTTAATACTCTCCACAAGCCTCGTTTGAAGAAGAAGATGTCATAGCGCTCGGGAAACACCGTGGAAAGGTGCTCATTCCAAAGCCGGATGATGCGTGGAAAAAAGATCTCTGGAAGCGCACTGTGAATGAACGCAGCGGTTCTAGTTAGTATGGATGAACTCGACTCTGGTGACGGGCTGTGCGATAGTAAAAACAAACTGTAAAGTTGCTGCTGAATAAATTAATTTTATAAAGTAGATCATTGAGGTATTTGTAAACGTTTTGGTACAGATTATTCAAATTGTTATGTGTTATCTGTGCGAATGTAGACTGATGTGACTTGAGAGCTAATATAATTTATTGTGTCCTATAAAAGAAATCTGATATTTTTTTTATTGCTTAGATGGGTGGACGAGCTCACAGCCCACCTGGTGTTAAGTGGTTACTGGAGCCCATAGACATGTACAACGCAAATGCGCCACCCACCTTGAGATACATTAGTTCTAAGGTCTCAGTATAGTTACAACAGCTGCCCAGCCCTTGAAGCCGAAACGCATTACTACTTCACGGCAGAAATAGGCGGGGTGGTGGTACCTACCCGTGCGGACTCACATGAGGTCCTACCACCAGTAATTACGCAAACTATAATTTTGCGGGCTTAACCTCCACTACACGATGCTATGCCTTCACCGTGGAAGCTGACCGTGAACATTTGTTAAGTACATATTTCATTAGAAAAATTGGTACCCGCCTGCGGGATTCGAACACCGGTGCATCGCTAGACACGAATGCACCGGACGTCTTATCCTTTAGGCCACGACGACTTCAAAATGTATTAGAGTTTTATTGAAATACTGCCAAATTCCAATTAGTTGCTGTCAAACTGTAAAACATAAATTTGACACCATTTCATTAACTTTTGCTATGACGTATTAAGGTATCTCTTAGCATAAGCATGTAGACATGCCTGCATTTCAAACAAAAAAAAAATTAAAACTCATTTAAACCCTTTCCGGGACTCGTGGTATTGATATATAGTGAATAATTTTAAAACACGTATATTAAAAAGTCGTTAAAATGTTAATGTTGTTTTAATGTCTTCATACCAGAAATCATAAAGTTCGCCATAAAACTTCGATGACACGAAAACAGCATTATTTTAATTTCGATTATAATAACTATATTATGTATTTGTAAACATTAGTGTATTTGTTACTTAATACATATATCATTTCATTTATGTATTACAGATTTATTATTCAAAATTCAAGATTTACCCTCGGGCTTGACTAATGATGGAGCTCAGAAATGTTGTAAACAATTTGTAGGTTTTTTTAATTATTATTTTTATTGCTTAGATCGGTGGACACACACACACACACAGCTTGTTGTATATATATAGTTCGGCCACAAATTTTAAAACTTGAGGTCGAAGCCTTAATTGTTTTTATAATATTTGTTCTTTATTAATTAAATAAACACAAGATTATATTGGAATAGGCTGAATGGTACCCGGGCGGGGTCACAGTCAATAATAACGATAATAATAAAATTTTGCGGTTTTGATTTCTGCACAATAATATGTTCTCTTATTTTCATCGTCAGAATCGTAATTAAACATGGGTAAACATTATTAAAAATTGTATTATATCTGCTCTAGAATTTATAATATTTATACTATCACTGGATAGATGCATCGGTATCTTAGATAGGACACTTTTAGCACATTTTTAAAAACATAAAGCGTCAATGTAGCAGATATAAAAATAAAAATAATAATTGCATTAACTCTTTCAATAAATATTTAAACTCGTAACAAAACATTAGTGCCGTGGATAATATAAGTTTTATATACCGAGAATATATAAATTAACGAATAACCATATAATTCATTAGTTGATTATCGGATAATTAATGAATTCAGAACTCATTAATATGTTAAATTTAATTAAATAAAAATACACAATAATCGTAAGTTTGAAACCACTTGTCTAAATACTTGGTTATAATTAATTAAGATACTCGTTCCGTGGCTGTTTGTTCGTGTACACTTAAATTCTCTTTTAATATATATAAATAATATTTAGGGCTGTTTGTTTGTGTTGTTGTTGGAATTTCCCGGTTTTTTGCGGTTTAATCCATTTAACGAATATGTGTATGTGGAAATGAATCATTCAAACGATTCTTTAAAGAAATTCGTGTTTTACAGTAGGTATTTGCCTAGGTTTTCACGGCTTGAATTCGCATTTTAATTGTTCTTTTATTATATCTGACGTTTGGAATACATACTTTAAATATCTTTAAATTATTATTTCTTTCTTTTCCAATATCCTACCAAGAGTAATTACGCAAATCATAATTTTGCAGGTTTCATTTTTGTTACACGATGTTATTCCTTCACCGTGGAAGTCAATCGTGAACAATTGTTAAGTACGTATTTTGTTAAGATTGTGCCGGGCGTCTTATCTTTTAGGCCACGACGACATCAACTTGTTTGTTTGTTTGTATGTGGATTTCATAGTTATAACGACTAGCTCCAATATCAGTATCACCGTATTATTATTAATTGTATTTGAGTATTTATATTATTATTTTTAAACTTGAATATTTTTCCTATTGATATTTTACTCATAGTATCATCAGCAATATTTGACGCGCTACTGATATTAATAATTTAGTGTATTTAATGCATTTTGTGTTTTCTTCATACCCAAATATGGTAGACATTCAACTGATAGATTGATAGGCTTCGAGGCGCTGCCGCTTCCTTTGCATAGTATAATAATTAAATATGTTAAAAATAAAATTTAAATGAAAAAACATTATGTTAATATCTTCTTGAAACAGAATGAAAGCAGTTTTGATAGTGGAAGGTTATAAATTTATTACAGTAAAAGATTGTTTTTTTTTGTTCTAGACTCCAAAAATAAGTAAAATTTGTACTGAAGTTTTTTATATTTCGTTTTATTTCGGAATCTCCAAGAAATGAGCTGGTAAGTTTTTTCTTTGAATTCTCTATCCACATTTTTTTTTCCTATTTATATATTTTTATTTCAGATATGGAAAAAGTCGAGGTTACGGTCCACCTGGTATTAAAAAATCTCTTAGCGTCTCAATCGCAACGTGAAAGCGGCTCATTTTGAGACATGAGGTCGAAGTCTCTATTGTATTATTTCACGGTTGTATTATCTTATTCGAATCGGAACGCGCACCTAACTGCTTCATCTAGGGACCCACTTACAATACTATTTATCATTAATTTTTATTATTTTTAGTACCTAGTTTACCAGTAATTACGCACATTTGTATTATACTATATTTTGATTTGATTTTTATTATACGATGATAAGTCGTGAATGCTACTCGTTCATAATTTTTTTGGGACTCGACGAAGTTGCCGGACTTTCGCCAGCGCCTTGGAGTCTTTAGGAGGGGTATGTAGTTGCCTCTACTGAAACCTCCTGGCTTTCGAAAACCCTGCTCGAGTTTTGGGTGAGGCAGGCTGAGAGCTAGGTGAAGTCGTCGAGGCCTAAAGGATAAGGCGTCCGGTGCATTCGTATCGAGCGATGCAACGGTTTTCGAATCCCGCCGGCGGATACCGATTTTTCTAACGTTCAATGTTCACGATTGAATGCCACGATGAAGGAATAACATCGTGTAATAAAAATCGAACCCGCAAAATTATAATTTGNCGAGTTTTGGGTGAGGCAGGCTGAGAGCTAGGTGAAGTCGTCGAGGCCTAAAGGATAAGGCGTCCGGTGCATTCGTATCGAGCGATGCAACGGTTTTCGAATCCCGCCGGCGGATACCGATTTTTCTAACGTTCAATGTTCACGATTGAATGCCACGATGAAGGAATAACATCGTGTAATAAAAATCGAACCCGCAAAATTATAATTTGCGTAATTATTGGTGGTAGGACGTCTTGTGAATCCGCACGGGTAGCTCCACCACCCTGCCTGTTTCTGCCGTGAAGCAGTAATGCGTTTCGGTTTGAAGGACGTGGCAGCCGTTGTACTATAAAAACTGAGACTGAAAGAACTCGTTTCAATTTATTAAGGGTGGCGTCATGTACGTTGTTGATTCTATGGAGTCCGGTAGCCACTTAACACCAGGGCCGTGAGCTCGTCCACCCATATTAGCAATTTAAAAAAAAACGCTTATTTAACTTTGCTCAGAGGCAATATCGTAACCAATGAGGTTAATTCGAGGTGCGATTATTGCTAGTTGAAAACTTTGGTCATAAAAGGGTTTTTTTCTCAAAGCTACTGCTAGTCATGTCATAGACAGAATGAATTTAATACCAATTTGTGAAGGCACTGTTTCATTCACGAGAAATCGTACAAACATGTGCAGTTAGCACCGACCCTTATTTTTAATTATTGAAATAAAATAAAGATATTCAGTGCAGCGGAATTTTTCGCAAAAGTTTCTGTAACTGATTAAAAACTCATAGTAACCTATTCGTCTATATCTGCTCCTTTTAATTATATATTAAAGCTATACGAATAGTTCGTGTCCATCGCCTACAACTGGTGCTGCTTCCCAAATATTCTCCTCGGCATTACAGTTCTTCGCAGCTGCACAATGTCTTATAACCGAAGATTGGCCTTCCAGCGCCAAAGTTGTTGGTGAGCCTCAATTATTTTTTCAATTAATGATTCCAATACTAGAGATTCCTAGTCAGTTTTGTGGCCCTACGAAAATTATCAGTTTTTTTAAAATACCCATCGTAAGTTGATCGTTCTGCACTATAGTCTATTATTTTACTGATGCATTGCTGTTATATTGCGAAGTTCCATCAAAGTCCATTCGGTAGAAAAAATTGATAATCAAAATTCCCTCTTCAACTATCTATCATCCAATGTAATTAAAATAACAGTTATAGCGAGATCTGTTAATGATCGCTTTAACGACATATTCATACTTACTTATTCATACTTTTCAGAAAAATTTGGGCAAGTGATGAAAAAAAACAAAACAGAAATTACACCTTTTAAGATTATGATTTTGTTACAGTCAAGAACACATAAGCATAGCTAGGTGTGAAAATAAACAGAGCTTAAGTCGTTATAGGTTTTTGTATTTTTAATTACAGACAATGAAAAATACGATTTCATAATTGTGGGGGCAGGAACATGTGGATCTATAGTTGCCAACAGACTTAGTGAGATTGGAGACTGGAAAATATTACTGTTGGAAGCTGGTGATAATCCACCAGTGGAAAGCATCGTGAGTATCTTAATAACTTCAGCGAATGGATAAATAAAAAAAAATAAAAAATTGTTTATGAATTTATAATATTAACATATTTCTGTTTTCATGAGATCACTGCACTTGAATCGACAAGGTAACTTCCCTGCCTATTTATTATTAATATTGTTATCAAGCAGAGTATCTGTCGAAGAGTATTAAACAAACAGACATAGTCTAGCTAATTTTATTGAACTGCATAAATTATTCCTTTCTTTTATAGAATGATTAAATTTAATACCGAACTAACAGCTATTCGATTGCGTTTCGAGCCAGTCAAGGTTTGGATCAATTTCGAATTTCATATTTGTTTCCTTACCACATATTTCTTATTCCATTTCTTACCTAACTGTACTTTTAATTCATATAATACATTGAGTACTGATACAATAGTTAGATATTGTTCGACTGGGAACATACGTTTCACTTTCGAGGTGTTTCTGATTTTGTTGTAATCTAGATTATGACGTTAAATATTAATATAGACAGGACATTTCCCAATATTTTTGGTATGTATTCCCTTAATACTAGGATACACGTGATTTGTTGTATTAATTTGTATTAAAGTAATAAATAAATATAGTTTTATTTCGTTCCAGATAATTGCTTTGGATAGACAAGTATATGGTTCAAAATATGATTGGGGATATGTAACTGAAAATAATGGAATTACAAGCCAAGGTTTTGTAAATGGAGAAGTGCAATGGCCTAGAGGGAAAATGCTCGGTGGAAGCAGCGGTATAAATGGAATGATTTACATTAAGGGAAACTTTAAAGATTACAAAAGGTGGTATGATGCAGGAAATGAGGAATGGCATCCGAAAGTTGTAGAAAAATATTTTATAAAAGCAGAAAATCTTCAAGATACTGAACTATTAAAATCCGCTGAGGTTAGAAAAAATTACGGAACAAGAGGGCCTCTAATAATAAATTCATTTAACGTAACATCAAGGCGCATTGCAGATAAAATAATAGAAGCCTGGGATGAGATTGGATTCAAAAAAGTTTTGGATGTTAGTAATCTTAACAACTTACGAGGATCTGGAAGGTTTAGGGCATCTGCTGCTAGTGGTACAAGAGAAAGTACGGCTAAAGCATATCTAAATCCAATAAAAAATAGAAAAAACCTTTACATTGTTAAGAATGCTCTTGTTACCAAGGTTTTAATAAACAATAAAACTAAGGAGGTATTTGGTGTATCTGTAGAAATTCATGGAAAAAAATTCACTTTTTATGCAAACAAGGAAGTCATTTTAAGTGCAGGTTCAATTAATACACCGCAGTTGTTGATGTTGTCTGGAGTTGGACCACGGGAACATCTTATTTCAAAGAATATTTTTTGTAAAGTAAACTCTTGCATGGTTGGTGAAAATTTACAAGATCATGGTATAGTACTTGTTCCTGTATTTGGTAAAGAGCCGGAAGACCAAACGACAGCAGAAAAAAGTTTTGCTGCCATACAATATCTTTACAATCGTGAAGGGTACTTAGGTGGTAAAAGTACCCCGGACGTTTCAGCATTTTATTCAGAATGTGCCAACCAAACATATCCACAATTTCAAAGCGTTCCTCTTCTTTTCGGTAAAAATTCGTCATCAGTGCGTGAATTTTATAACACTATCAAAGTGAAACCTTCAGTGATAGAATCAATAGTGAAACAAAACATTAACAATGCTTTGTATATTTTTCGATTTATTTTGTTACATCCTTTTTCTAAAGGAAACATTAAGTTGCGTTCAAATGATCCAAAACAATATCCTATTATTTACGCTAATTATTTTAAAGATCCAAGGGACTTAGATGCAGCCGTAGTCGGAATTAAAATGCTGACTAAAATCGTGAATACTAAATATTTCAAATCGATTGGTGGATTTTTAGGCAGAATAGACTGACCTCCTTGTAATAAATTCGTACTCGACACCAATGAATATTGGAGATGCATAGCTTTGAATTTTATCACCACCGTGTATCATCCAACAGGTACTACGAGAATGGGACGTAATATAAACGTGTCTGTTGTCGACAGCAGACTAAGAGTTCATGGTCTTAAAAAACTTCGCATAATAGACGCAGGTGTAATGCCATTTACAGTCAGTGCAAATACCAACGCTCCAAGTGTGATGGTGGGTGAAAGAGGAGCAGATTTGGTTAAAGAAGATTACAGAAAGTGTCCTTCAGGACGATGTCCATGTTAATAAAAAGTTATGAATACGTTGAAAAAGTAAATTAATAATTAAAAATCTAACGCCAAGAAAAGTAGAATTACATTTATCTAGTGAGACTAAAAAGAGTTAGTTGAAATTAAAAGGCAGTGGGTTAGAAATTCAATTGTTTTAATACAAATACCTACAACTGTGAGAACGATTTCTTGTAATATTTTTTCTCTGTGGTAAGACATCACGGTTAATATACCCCTTTCACAGAACTAGATCCATAAATAATGTCGTAATGAACGCAGATCTCCTACCGCGGGTATCAGAGCTCGATAGAAATTGAACTAAATATATATATTTTTAAGGGACATAGTTTTTAGTGGTTAATTGACTTTTGAGATATCAAAAGACATTCGAAAGGTAGCCGTTATACTTATAACCTGGCCCATTATCGCCCGGCTGGGTATCCGTAAACTGTGATTTCCCAGTGTTAAAAAAAAGTAGCCATTATGCTTATTTCCCAAACACATGATTATTTCGCTTAACAAGTAGACAGTTCGGCCGTAGCAGTTTGTGCGCTTATTATCCCGTGTTCTGAAATTCCATAAGCACTTTCTATCGAGAAAATCATGAGAAAAGTAAACTTTTTGCTAATTTAGTCTTCTAATTGCTTGATATGTACACATCGGGCGTTTTCTTAAGCTACGACGACTTTATTCTGTCTATCACCTGAAGCTCTGAAATAGATTTTTGTATGATTTTTGGAAAATACGTTGGCCTAACAATAGCTGTCTAGAGCTACGATTACTTTATGAGCTTTGGTTGGATCGAGACACTTTCTATTTTCCGTTGTAAGTTGTATCGTAAACATTTTCATTTTTTTCATGATTTAGCACCCATTTAGCAATTATTGTATTGTGATAATTGTTAAATGGGGATACATTTTCGTAATAGACAGATTTTCGAGAATTTCACGCTGTGTTTTATGTCTGTAAAGTCGGTTTACTGACGATAGTTGAACGTGACAACGTCATAAAACATATTATATTTAATATCGAAAGAATCATTACCTTTATCGCCGCAATTATCGTTGCTATAAACAATTGACACCACATTCACTTTTCACTGAACTTCATACTTGACGAAAACATGTAAATGTATTATTGTATAGCAGCTGTCCACGCGGATGCATCGCTCACTCAAGTAGGAGAGAGACAGATGTCGAATGCTGTCGAACGCGGAGGCCGATGGTGCCTCTTTGTCGCTCGTTGCGCGCTCTCGCTTGCACTTCAAGCCTTAAATGGAACCGCCTCAGAGCGAGGTAACGCCGCATGACTCATGTTTTTTCGTGCGTGCAGCCGGCTCCATCGAATTATAAGACGTTGTCACGTCAAAAACCATGTGTGTATTTTCCGATCGAGTATTTAATGTGAGCGTGTGGTAGGAGACAAAATCTAACCCATCGGTGCTGACAAGCATATCGGTGATGGATCGTCGTCAATGACCCTTAAGTACTGAATATGAGGAACACAGAATAAAGATCACATTACACGATCAAATCGCTTGTTGTGAACTAATGTTTTATGAAATCTAATCGTAATTGCGAATCACAATATTAGTTTTTATTAACTATTCACTTTGGCCTATTATTCAAAAGCATATTTGTCATTTTACTACACATTTTTAAGTAACTGAACGTGAATCTGTTCACGGCTTAACCTAACTTAATCTATCTTAAGAAGGAGGGAGCCTGGAGATCAGTAATACAGGTCTTTGAACCTAGTACAGACTTCAGCTCTTTCAAAGGCTTACAAAATAAATTATAAGGTTAATTTCCATTTGTATTTGTACTATACCTTTAAGAGAGAAATAAATAAATTATTATTATTATTATTAGAATTTGTATGTGGCGAGCAATTGGCGGCTTGATGTATTTTGAATACAAGTTGAAACGATGTCTGATTGAAGCCCAACACCAGAGGATTTTGTTGTTGCCTTCGCAAGGAGACGAATGTACGGCGCTCTTGATGGTGAGTGGTAATCGACACTCATGGACATCAGCAATGTTAAGAACACAGCTAAGTCGTTATCTTTCGCTAATGACTCTTCTCAAATCTCGTTCAAAACAGAATTTCTTACTAAATTTGGGAGCAACACCATAGAAAGAAATTCACTGAAGAAAGGAAGAAGATAATTTACTAATGGTTGGACATTGTGAGTAGGTACTACCGTCCTGCCTATTTCAGCCGTAACGCAGTAATGCGTTGCAGCTTGAGAAGTGGGACAGCTGTTGTACTGTAAAAATTGAGACCTTAGAACTCATGTCTCAAGGTTGTTGGCGGCATTTACTTTGTAGACGTGGTCTATGGGTTCTAATATCTACTTAATACCAAGTGGGCTGTGAGCTCATCCATCTATCTAAAATAATTAATAAATAAAAAATCCAAAGCTGAATGAATGGTAGCAAACCTTCTTAATAAACTCGATCGTCTTCTTAATAACTGCATTCGATTTATTTTTAATCTTCGTAAACATGATGTTATATCTTCCTATCGTGCTGAGCTCAAACTTCTATCGATTCGCCAGCGTCTTAATTTACGTGCACTGATGACTCTTCATTCCTTACTGTCTCCCGAACCTCCTTCCTATCTAACTCCCTATTTTCAATATCTTCACTCCAGCCATGAGCGGGCCCTACGTTCTCTCCATAGCCTATTATTACGTTGTCGGACACATACTTCTAGTTATGTTCCTAACTCTTTCGTCGTGCAGTCTGTTCTGCTATGGAATGCGCTTCCTCTCGAGATCAGGACTATTACTAACTGGTGCGCGCTCAAGTTAAAGGTTCGGCGAATGCTGTTGGAAAATTTAGCGGAATCGTCATGAATTTATTAAGATGAAGTTATTTCTTAAGTGAATTTCTTAATATTATATTCCTTTTAATACTGTATAAACTATTAAATATATATTATTATGTATATGTGTTTGTGCATATATGTACATATATATTTTTGTGTATGTATTTCTAATCCATATATATGAGTAAATTTGAAGTGTCTGTTTGTAATATTGAAATAACCGCTTTTTACTACATGCATATGAATATAAAGTATATACGGTATATACACCAAAATAACATTTTTTACAATTTTTGTCTGTCTGTCTGTTTGTTCCGGCCAATCTCTGGAACGGCTGGATCGATTTTGACGAGACTTCCACTGATAGGTAGCTGATGATATAAGGAGTAACTTAGGCTACTTTTTTTAGACTAGCTTCGCCCCGCGGCGTCACTCGCGGTACGACAATAACCGCGAGTAACGTCGTGAGACTCAGCTACCTATTAATAATAAAATTTAATGTTTCCGAAGTGAAGTGAAGGCGTGTCGCTAGTAAATAAATAAATAAAGGTTACAACACTGAAAAAGTACATCACCTACCTGCCTATGGTTCTGCGCTCGTTTTATCAACCAAATGATTGTTAGGAACATGAGAAAATGTTCTACATAATATACATTCTATAAATGAAGAACGTGACGTCAATTTGGTTTAGTCCATTGGTTTGTCGCGTTATGATATCGTAGAGTGTTACGATTCCAGGAAGTTTCCTTAAAAGGTTTTTAGATTCTTGGTATGCTCAGGACATTGGAATATTATTTTTGTTAACACAATGTATGTTTTAATTTTGTTAGTGTGATATCGCGAGCGCGAAAGATAAAAAGTAGCTTAGTTATTATTTGGTTAATACGGTGACCGCAATTAATCTTTTTGTTGGTATTACGAGAATCGGTCACGGTTGAAGCATTGCACATGACAGCCCATTATGGGTCCTTAGAGTAAAAAACCGAATGGGTCATAAAGGGTGAGCTGATGCCGAATACAAGGAGGAAAAAATGGTAAATAATTCACTTACTGAATTTAATTCGATGTATTTACGAACCAAAAAGTTACTGTCAAAAGTTTTTTATGGATCATAGACATAAAACAAGAATAACCTAGAACTAAACATAAACATAGAAATCGTGCTCAATTATTGTTTATGGATAAAATGTTCTTGAACCATTTTACCAACTTGTAAGCTTGGTAAACAGACCCTTATTGTCGAGTATTCGTATCAAGTTTGAAACAATTTAGTTTTAATATTATTTTATATTCGTTCACGACATGAAACTTTAAAAAAAATATTTAAGTAATCAGAAGAATCAGTAATACAGACGGAGTCGGACGGATAGAGGATTAAATGTTTCACTTCAATCAATTTGTCACATTTTAAAAGGCAATTTTTATTTCCAAAAACTGCACATTTATATTAAAAAAATATATATCTTTCTTGATTGAGTTTTGTTTTGTAATCGTTAAAAGTTAACAAAAAAATAATAGATCTTCTTAAGCGTTTATCGCAAAATCGTTCGCAAAATAGGCATTTCGTGTTTTAAGATTTTGTTATTGTCAAAATTGATAGCTCTTTCTATCTGCCATTCCCGGAGTGTCTGAACTTGGGTTCCGGGTATCACACTGCCGTCTTCATATTTGGCTTTATAAAGTTCCTCTCTGAAGGTTTTAAGTTGATTTTTTATGTACTCAACTGGTACTTTAGATATGGCAAGTAATCTCGGTTGATAATTTCTAAGTTCCTCTACGTTTTTCACTTCATATAGTTCGTAAACGAGATATTTATCGTGTGGCTCCGGTTTTTTTAAGAATACAGCATAATCGTTTCCGACGTGTAGGAACCCTTGTAGATTATGCTCGGAACGAAAGCCGTCGATAAACTGAAACAAATTGTGAAGTCTAACCGCAAAGAGTTCTTGTGAACATGCTATTATAAAGACCAATTTGGATACCGAGAACTGAAAAAAGAACAATTATAATTACATTTTGAGTTGATACTTCTAATTTTATAGGGTTAACGAGGCACATCAGGAAATTTACAAAAATCCGTTTTACTGTGTTACCCGGATTTATATTCAACTCATCGGGTTCATCGTGGTTAAATGACATTTTTTCATCTGAGTATAGAACGACTCAAGCACTCGGTCTTCTGGTTATTTGTTTTATCCTTCTATTATAGGGAGTAGCGGATATTCGGATCTGATGAGAGGATCGTGAATCCGATCCGGTGGTACATTCAGCGAAATACTGCTCTTACTAGGGCAGATGTTAGCAAAGTCTCCTAGGCTGAGCCCCGTGAGCCCGCTGACACGTTCGGTGAAGCAATAAACCTATATCCCTTCAAGGTTACTAGCAATAGATAGGACAATAAAATCAAATGTAATAGATGTTTGTCTTTACTTTCGAAGGTGAGCAGTGAGAGTCACGCTAAGTTGTGTATTATGGCCTGATTCGAAAAACTAGTGGATATGAAAGTATTTGATAATCTCAACATTCGGACCGTCGGTCTACCGATTGTCGATGACCCCTCGATACAAGATTTTCACTGTGCAATTGAAAACACGAATTACAGCGTTACTCATAAAATCGAAATTACACTATAATAATATATTTGAGTACTCCAAATTTATCCGCTTACCGAATTGGTTGTCATAATAATGTTGTTCCTTCGTGCCATGTTCAATAGCTGTTCAGTATCACATTTGTTTGAACAATACAAACGAAAACAATACACGTTCAGGTTTTACGATTCATTAAAAAAAACAATATTGAAAAGAAATTAAATTTTGTCGCTTTGGAATTTTAAATCTCAAGTTATATTCGAAACAATATTTTACAGTGTGTAAAATAAAATATTGTAAAATTAAATTCGTCATATATTGGGACGTTCTCTGACTAGATGGGATGCAGCGGACCCCACACATAATGATATGGGAAGGGTGGCGACGTATCCTAGACGATTCCTTTCCCTACCTAAGCGTTGATAGTCTATTTCAACTATGCGCGTACGAGTAAGTGAGCTCACGGGGATAAATTTGTGAGCCTAGATGCACAAATCAGTACTGACTTGGAGGGCGAAGTTTTACTTCTGCGAGTGCGCCAGCTTGCAGAAGCAGCCGGCGGGGTAAGAGAGAGCTCTCTCCCAACAACTCATATTTTTTTTCTTTTTCCCTACCTATTTCCGGTAGCCTATGAGGTTATTCCAGCTAGGCCCAGACGGATAGGTGAGTTAACGGCCTCAACCTGAGTAACCTGAATTTGCTAACACCAGTCCTAGCAAGAGCAGTGCTTTGGAGAATCTACCACCAAATGGAAATCGGGACCTACTAAAAAGATCCGGCAAGAAACTCAGTGGGCTGTGTGTATGGGTTAAACTCAGAGTCACCGGGCTCCGAGCCAGGAAAGGAATCTCGCCCGAATGCTGGTTCCCTGATTTTGAATTTGGGGAATCGACGAGAGTGAATCGAAAAGACGACGTATAAGCTGCTCTAGACGAGTCGATCGAAAGAGCAACCGGGTCACTGATGACCGCACTCTCTGATTTACGGTGTTTTGGTATCTTGGGAGTAGGGGTGGGGGTGGATGAAGGTGACCTTGGGAGTGCTCCTAGCTTTAGGGGATTATATCGAGTATGCCATCGTTTATTTCGGCTCACAGCTCATTGCTGCCATCCAGACATGGTCTTAAGTAGAATCAAATGGCTACAGAGACTCCTTACTGAAAAACTTTTTTTTTTTTTATTGCCGTATAGGCAGACGAGCCATACGGCCCACCTGATGGAGAGTGGTTACCGTCGCTCATGGACGTCAGCAATGCAGGGGGCAGAGCCAAGCCGCTGCCTACCGTTTAAACTACACTGGATTAAATGTAAAGACGAATATCATGTAACAATGATGCATAATATAAAATGGAGATACTTAGAAACAATTTCTAGAGAAATATAACTGTTTAAAAAAACATACTTAAAAAAAAACCTTAAATCATCCAAAATTAAATGTCCATTTATTATATTCTTCAAGCATTGTTAGAATATAAGGTTTTTGTAAATTGTAAGTACTTAATACACTTTTTCAAGCATTCCTATAATAGGCGGAGATATTTCTCGTAAATTGCTAGTGATAATTATAGTCACAATAAGATGTAAAATTGACGTTCCAAATGTTGTGCTATATGCATTTATCTATATCTATCTATATCTATATCTTTTGGATCACTGGTGAACGAAGGCCTTTCCAGCGTCTTTAGATAATTACTATTTGTTCCTTCGAACCGAGGAGGCACCCACAGATAATTCACTTAATATTTAAGGGGGCACCTGACATGCTTATAGACAGGAAGGTTATTATTAACTCTAGGATTCAAAATGTGCTCTACCACAACTATAATACGTTTTGTTTTAATACATCAATAGATAAAAAAAAGGTTACAATTTGACTAGATAGTTTAAATGTTTTAATTTTATTGTACAATATCGTTCAATTAACCGTGACTCGGTTTTATCAACGATATAAGCGGGTGAATAAAACTGAACAAGGTTCATTGTTTTGCTTGTTGTGAAAGAACGAACGTTTCAAATGTGTCGGTGAGTTAATTTTTCTATAGACATAAAAAAACGCTGTTTGTTTTAAGCTTATGTCATATTAGTGTCAAGCAATAGTTTTTAAATATTGTAGAAGGTGGAGAAATGTTTTGAAGTCGTTGTGGCCTAAAGAATAAGAAGTCTAGTTTACTTGTATTGATTGTTTTCAATTTGCCGGTGTTTAAATCTCGTAGGCAGATTCGCATTTGTCTAACTTAACACGCATTTAATTTATGTTTGCGAATGGCTTGAAAGAAGGATCAAATATTGTTATTTTTGGTTTGTAACCCTATTGTTTTAGTATTTGTTTACGAGAATTATATGTATAAAAAGAGAAAGAAATCTTTTATACAATAGGTGAATGTTAGAGTAAAAAATAAAGCCAAATAAATTTTATTTGATACCTCAATTTTATTACTGTAATTTGAGAAATATTCAAAATAAATCTTGTCATATAACATATATGTATAGAATGTTTATTGAATAATATTTATGTTTTTATTCTTATAATAAATACAGCATATTATGTATTAAATTATGTTATAATGAATTAAATTATGATGGAAAATTTATCAATGGAGAATATAATAGTAAGGTCATAACATTATAGCGACTTTATCTTCCCAATTCCAATTCACATGAATATATAATCATATTAATAGAAACCCTACAAAAAATTATAGAATAATATTATAATTTATTGGTGATAAGGCATCTTGTAGGCACGCATGGGTAGGTCCCATCCCATACCCATAGCGTAGGCATCATCGCCCCGCCTATAGAACTCATGTCTCAAGGCACGTGAAGGCATTTACGTTGCTGATGTCTATTGGTTCCGGTAACAACTCGTAGGCTGTCAAAAAAAAAAAAACTTTCATCATGCCGTGAAAATATAGACAATTGTAAATTTAAAATATTATATTATACTTAACTGTTAAATGTGTATAATATGTTTTAGAATACACTGTTTTCTGAACATGTATGCTAAAACCCGATCATGTTTCGCTGCTGCTGTAACGAAACTATTCTTGGAAACCAGGAATGCCTAGTACAACAACTACATCAAGTTTTCAATCCCATAGATGATGAATGATTTTTTTTTATGATCGCAAGCAGGTTGGACTGTGTATACATGGGTCGCTGTGGTGCCATCTCCCATGGGATGTTACCACAGTAATTCATTGTGATGTAAATATAACTACTAACATAGGTCTAAGTCTTATTAACAATTTATATGAGTCATGGTTACTTGCAATAAAAACATTATTATTATAGCCTAAATCATGTGCCTAAGTGTAGATAAAGTCCAAACAAAAGAAGATATTATTCTTTTGTATATATGAGAACGTACAAATCTTTTTAAAATAGATACACAAATAGTTCCTGTTTGTCACCAACCGTCGGTGCAGTCCCAGAATTGTTTTCTTCCGCCCTGCAGTTTTTTGCTGCAGCGCAGTGTTTGTTAACAGAAGACTGGCCTCCAGACACCATTGTATCTGGTAAGCTTAAAATCGAAATAATAAATTCTGTTTTCTGTATCTGTTCAATTAAAATTTATGTTATCGTTTTTTTCTATCCTGGCTGAAAACGATTTTTCATTGGAAATAACAAGCAGTGTCTTTGTACGTAACTTTTCTTTGCTTATTTTTCTGTTTCTTTGTGGCATTACCAATTTTATTTAAACGACAATAGATTTCAGTTTAATATCTTTTTAAGTAAAATGACTATCGTTAGTTTATTTTTTTAATTTGAAATTTGCTATAATAGTAGCATATACATACACATTTGCAACTTAACAATTAAAATGTACCTCTAAATGTTAATGAAGCAGTCGAATATAAATTAAATAGTTTTAGGGACGTTACTGACTAAGATGTGTTCAGCAAAGCACTGCTCTTGCTAAGGAAGATGTTAGCAAACTCTCCCAGGCTGAGCTCCACCAGCTCGTCTACAAGTTCGGTGAATCTAGTATAAGCCCTTGAGTTACCAGAAGAAGAAAGAAAAAAAAAACTAACTAACAAAAATGTAAGTTAAAATTATATTTTCAGATAAATCGAGATTTGATTTCATAATAATAGGGGCTGGAACCTGTGGATCTATTGTAGCCAATCGATTAAGCGAGATAAAAAACTGGAATATTTTATTATTAGAAGCTGGTGGCTTACCTCCCGTGGAAAGTAATGTGAGTGATCTTTAAGTCTCTATTTCACTGTTCCAAAATCAATTAAATTATTATTTATCCAAATATGTTATACAAATAATGTTTAGAGATAGATAAAACAAATTACTATCATAATTTACTGCACAATGCATTATCAACTTTCTTTTTTTGTTCACATTTATTGAAAAGTAATGCGTTCTCAAAGCCGAATCTCTAATAATAATTTACAACGCTATAAAACAATTACTACGCCAAAAAAACTATTTAATACTTTTTTTCAGATCATAGCACTAGATCAACAACTTATTGGGTCAAAATACGATTGGAATTATATAACTGAGAATGATAGAAGATCAAGCCAAGGTTTCGTTAATGGTACGGTGATTTGGCCAAGAGGAAAAATGCTTGGTGGCAGCGGTGGTATCAACGGAATGATTTACTTTAAAGGAAACGATTTTGATTTCCAACGATGGTACGACGCCGGGAACAAAGAATGGCATCCAAAAATAGTGAGATATTTTTATAAGAAGCTCGAAAGTTTACAAGATGCTTCCCAGTTGCGGAATCCATTTATTAGGAGAAACTATGGCCTCAATGGTAACCTTATCATAAATAGTCTGAACAGTTCAAACGAGCATTTAATAGAAAGCGTCATAAATTCCTTTGACGAAATCAGCTTCCGACGAAATTGCGATATAAGTGCTCTAAATGCGTTCGGGTCAGGAAAATTTAAAATTAACGGAAGTAATGGTAGACGAGTAAGCACAGCTAAAGCGTATTTAAACACGATAAAGAAACGAAAGAATTTAAAAATAGTAACAAATGCTTTTGTTACTAAAATCTTAATAGATTCTGTGACTAAAACTACTGAAGGAGTAGAAGTAGAAGTACAAGGACAAAAGAAGACATTTTACGCAAATTTAGAAGTGATTTTGAGTGCAGGAACAATTAATACTCCTCAAATATTGATGATATCAGGAATAGGTCCCGAAGATCAACTGAGTTCAAAAGGAATTTCATGCAAAGTAGATTCTCCGATGGTTGGGAAGAATCTTCAGGATCACGCTATTGTACCGGTTACAGTTTATGGTGATAAGCCAAAAAAAAAGAAGAGTGAAGCTGAACGTAATTTTGATATAATTAGATATCTATACAACCGCAGTGGCCCTTTAGCATACATTAGCTCTCCAGGCATTGCTGCTTTGTATACCGATGACCCCAATTTACCATATCCTAAATTCCAATCTTTTCTTATCTTATATGAAAAAAATACATCCTCGGTTCGCGAAGCCTTTGAAAAACGCGGTTATAAGCAATCCGTCGTGAATTCTATTTCAAAGCTAAATACTAACCACGCTCTGTATCATTTCGCGATAACACTTTTGCATCCACATTCCAAAGGTTACATTCGGTTACGTTCTAATAATCCTAAAGATCCTCCCCTAATTTACACCAACTATTTTAGCGATCCAAGAGATCTAAGATCATGCGTACGCGGTGTCAAAATGCTAACGAAAATCACAAGAACAACATATTTTAAATCTATAAATGGGTTTCTCGGTCGTATTAATTTGGAGCCGTGTAATGATTATGAATTGGACAGTGCTGAATATTGGAAATGTATATGTTTGAATCTGGTAACGACTGTATACCATCCGGTTGGTACTTGTAAAATGGGCGTAGAACCAAAGACTTCAGTTGTGAGTAGTCGTTTGAAAGTCTACGGTGTTGCTAAGCTTCGAATTATCGACGCTAGTGTAATGCCGAATGAAATTAGCGGAAATACAAACGCTGCTTGTGCTATGATCGGAGAAAGAGGAGCTGCAATCGTAAAGGAAGATTACTCAAAGGAAAAGCAGTACTCAATATAAAAAAAACAATGGCTAAACCTTGCAATGTAGTAGATATAGTTCATTTTACATAGTTAAAATAATTGTCAAATATAGAACAACAATAAAAAATATGTTAATGCATTTCTTCACTTCTCAAGGTGGGTGGCGTATTTATGTTGTCGATGTCTATGGACTCCAGTAACCATTTAACACCAGGTGGCCTGCGTGCTCTTCCACCCATCTAAGCAATAAAAAAGCCCGATATTCATAAAAGCAATAATAATTATATTGCCACAGATCATTTTTATTATTATCAGCCTCAATCTAAGACTATATCTATACAATAGCAATAAAACCATCTTAAGTTTGACTGCATGTTTTTTTTAAGACGATCTTTTAAAAATGATTAATTGGGCAAACACTGACTTATCTTAGTCGAAAATATTGGATAAGTGGTCTCGATGTTTGCTTTCGGACAAAAATATCTCTTCTACAAACATTGATAATGCAGTGGACTGCGGTTGTGTTCGTTAATAAGCTTTTAAATTATTATGTGGTTCAAAATATGTTCGGCCTAAGATATTTTATTTGCGTGTATTCTAAAACGAACATTTACTAAGTACCTAGTGTTGTTATATCTAGGCGTATAGTACTATTTACTAAATGAAGCTTAACAGTTTGGAAATATTCAAATAGTAATTAACCATATATGGTTTTGATTGTAAACGAAAACAATACAGCTGTTTTATAGTTTGCTTTATTGAATGACGGGAGAATAAGCTCACGGCTCGCTTGGTGTGAAGCGATTAGTGGAGCTCAAAGACATGGCAACGCAAATGCGTGAGCACCTTGAGACATGAGGCTTAAGTATTAATTCTATTATATGACTGACCCACTCTCCTAACCGGAAAATGCTTCGCAGTAGAAATAGGCTGGGTGGTGGTTCCTAACCAGGCAGGTTCACAAAAGACCCTGCCGTCAGTAACGTTGAGATAACATCTCTCTGATTTTCAAGACAGTAGTAATAGTAAAAGACTAGTGGAAAAGAAAGCAGTATATTTGCATTAAGTGATTTGTGGTTAAAATGTTACGGCAGATAATAATTTTTATGTATATTTCTAAAGGCGTATCGTAGAGGTGAGACTGTGGAATTCGTTGCCGGCTGACGCCCGAGTTTGCAAGTCTTTTTTTGTTTTTAAATACAAGGTCCAACAATTCTATCTTTAATCAACCGAATGATCATTGTTCTATACTCTTCGTATATACTATGTTGCTTATAATATTTTGTATTAAAGTTTAACAATATTTGCTATGTGTATGTGCATTACTATAATTCTCATGTTGTATTTGTTATTTTAGCTGTTCTACACACACTCATCACTTTTAATTATCATTCTCATAACTCGCAGGTCTGCTGGAAGAGATTTCTTAAAGAAATAAGCAATGCCTTTGTACATAACTTTCCTATTACTCTGTACTATGTCTTCTTTTTTGTGTGTACATAAATAAATAAATACATAACAGGTTACAAACGACGTAAACGTATAGGCAATGACATGGTCTAATAAAAATGAAACCCGATTTTTTTATAAATATGCGGAACACACCTGTTAGGTACGGTACGTGGACTTTGGGTTGCTGGGTAGGAAAACCATTATAAATACGATATGATTCAGGCTTCGACTTCGTGACAAGGCTGGTAATATTCATATGATATTTATCGACTTCAGTAGCCATTGGACCGTGAGTTGATCTGTCCATCAACAGCAATTAAGTTAAAAGGGTCAGTGAAGGAAATTGAGTAATTGAAAATAAAGATAACAGTTAATGAATAATTGGTGGTTTTCAGAGAAAATCACAACATTTTGTGTCCTGCGCCTCAGGGCTTAGCTCTTGCTCGCACATCTGTCCTGGTGAAACTGGAAAGGCCTCCACGCCACCACTAATCACTCAATCATAATTGAAAAAAAAAAAAAACTTTTGTAATATGATTTCCTTGTCACAAGACTTTTTTTAGTTATGAAACACGCCCTTAGACGCTCATGTGCTGGTTATGGATATAATCGAAAGTGTTTGAAAAAAAAAAAACAATTTGCCTTTTTCTATATTGAAATATAGAAACGACCGACACCTTAATCTGCATTCTTGAAGTAGGTATAAGCCTGTTGATTTGGGTCGACACTTCCGATCTGCGTTAAATTTATGTGCGACGTAAAATCGTGTAATAAATAACCTTGTTTGCGAGTAGGTACGTGTCATACAAAAACATGTTCATTAAATAACGGATATAAGGGAAGCTAAGCTCGTTTACCTATCACATGGGTGGGTGGCGCATTTACGTCGTAGATGTCTATGGGCTTCAGTAACCACTTAACACCAGGTGGGCTGTGAGGTGAGCTAGTCCACATCTAAGCAATAAAAAAAAAATTGACATCATCATCTTCATATCGGCTGCAAGACTTGTATGTACTGCTGTGATTGGGTCTACTCTATACGTTTTCAGATTAATTGGTTTCAATCATCCTGTGAATAATGTGTACCTGCGATCTCTGTCACTTGTTACTAGACGTAATATCACTAAAAGTTTATTTATTTATTTTATTTGCTTTGATGGGTGGAGGAGCTCACAGCGCACCTGGTTACTGGAGCACATCGACATCTACAACGTAAATGCCGCCACCCACCTTGCGATGTGAGTTACAACGGCTGCCCTACCATTCAAACTGAAACGACAGCTTCACGACAAAAATAGGCGGGCTGGTGGTACCCACCAGTAATTACGCAAATTATAATTTTGCGGGTTTCACTTTTATTACACGATGTTATTCCTTCATCGTGGAAGTCAATCATGAACATTTTCATATTCTGATCTAATATTCTATCAGATTTGTTGTGAAGATTTCGTTAAGAGTAATTTTCCCACGTTGGTTAAGGTCATCAGAAAAAAAAAGATTGGCAAAAACTCTTTGCAGTCTACAGTACAGCATCAACTATAATAATGTGTCAAAACATTTCGCTTTAGTTACATTTAGACTTTAAATTAACCACAAAGCCACAGAAATTCAACAATCCATTTTGAATTTCGATTTCACTAACTTAAAGGAAATAAGATCAAAAGGTCAAACCGTTTAAATTAAACCAACGTTACAAATAGGCACCAATACTTTCAAGTCACATTTGAGGGGTAAAGACATCAATCGTCGTCTTATTTGATATCTGTTGGCCGCTCGTGAAATTTGTTACCCGTTCAGATAAGGTGGCCAGTAATGAAGCCAGTTCAACCGGAAAAGCTTGTGATAAGGTAAGGCTCGTTTAAGAAAAGTCGTGCAGTTTTGTAAACTGTATCGCGCGTATATTGACACTATCACGTTGCATATGTCTAGCTGGTGCATTTTATCGGGCTCGCGACATGCGTTTAGTTCTACGCATTCTAATAAAATTTACATAGGCTATCGTCGACTTTGAAACGGTATATGTGCATTGCATCCTCTATCCTCTTTTGTGCGTTTTATTTATCTGTTTTTTTATTCACAAGAGTGTAGAGGCAGACTTCATATATAAAACATTATATACCAGTCAACCACAGTGACGCTGCCATGGGAGCTGGAGGCCGAGTCGCTCGTTACCGATTATATCGGTGGCGCAACGAACTTCGTGCTCTAGGCACGGCGCGTGTCCTCGAAAGTGAACTGCGGGCGCGGAATGCCCATTCTCGGCGGTCCGTGCTCGAGTTGTGGTCGAGGCGGCTGGCCAACCTGTGGGATTTACGGACCGTCGCGGCGGTTTACCCGGTCTTTGATAACTGGGTACTTTCGTCTGGTGCAGGTGCTGACCGAGCACGGATGCTTCGGGAAGTACCTGCACTGGATAAGAGATGATCTGACGACGAGGTGCCACCGTTGTGGACACGACCTGGACACGGCGGAGCATACGCTTTCTGTCTGCCCCGCTTGGGAGGTACAGCGCTGTGTCTTGGTCGCAAGGATAGGACCGGACCTGCCGCTGCCTGACGTCGTGGCGTCAATGCTTGGTAGTGACGACTTCTGGAGGGCTATGTTCGACTTTTGCGAGTGCACCATCTCGCGAAAGGAGGCGGCTGGGCAAGTAAGGCAAAGCTCTCCTCACTACGCAGAAATCCGCCGCCGCTGAGCAGGGTGTCGGGACCGGGTCCCAGTCCTGGCCGCCTAAGAGCTTAGGGCTTCATCGGCTTTGTATGGAGAGGGACCTAGGCGTAGGACGGCGTGCACGCTCGCCCGTAATAGGAAGCCGAGTGATGGTAGGCCGCGTTTCCCCGACTGCTACGGGAAAAGGTACAGCGTGGCGCCATTAATCGGGCTCCCGGCCTGTCGACCGAGGGAACCGGTGGTCGTGTCGCTGGCGGCCACCGGTATGGCGTTTGGGGGATAGAGAGATAGAGAAAAATAAAAAATAAACATTAATTAAATAAACAAATATGTACATTTATTATTAAACAAATACGTTTGATAAATAACGCCATACATACTATAATATCATAATAATAATAATTTACGATACTAGTGTTGTACTCTCAAGTGACACGTCGTCACCGTAATTTGAGTAGAAGTAGAAACTAAAGATTGCCTATACAATTAGTATTATGAATTTATATTTTACTCAAATTCGAGAGGGAGTTTGTTTGTTACACGCTTTCACGTCTTAGCTACGCAACTAATGGATCATTGCCGCCGGAAATTACATACCCGATCCTGTGGACCGAACGGTGAACAGTCGACGTCGCCCTAAGCACGTCATTACGGATCCTCCCGATCCATTAACGGTGCTTTTAGGTACCTCAAGCACCGATCACCGTCCTCGCCGAATCTGTCGCTTGTGAGAAAGGGCTCGACGAGTAAATTAACCCATAAACACAGCCCACTGAGTTTCTCGCCGGATCTTCTCAGTGGGTCGCGATTCCAACCCGGTGGTAGATTCTGCAAAGCACTGCTCTTGCTAGGGCCAGTGTTAGCAACACCTCCGGTTTGAGCCCCGAGAGCTCACCTACACGCTAGGGTAAAGCT